AAGGTCAGCCCCTGGGGAGATGGGTGCTCAGACCACTGACAGGTGGTGATGCTGGAGTTTAGTGAGACACAGGCTGCAAAGATTCCCAAGAAAAGGAAGGGTCTGTTCAACATGCCCAGAGCAGGTGAGTCCAGCATGGGGGCCAAGGCCCAGGTCTGTGTGTCAGGTTCAAATGTAGTAAGAAATAATGTCGGAGGGGGAGCAAGCGGCCGGGGGACGCGGGGGGAGGAGAAGGCGGGCTCCCAATCCGGTTTCATCTGGTTCTCCCACTGCCCCCATCGCGGGTCTGAGCAGCTTGGGCGGCGGGAGAAGTGGCAGCGGCCAGGCAGCCCAGGTTCACCAAGCCACTAGGCGCTCCGCGGCCCTCAGGCACCCAGCACGCGCCTGGCCGGCAGCCATGATGCCCAAGAGGAAGGTCAGCTCTGCGGAGGGGGCGGCCAAGGAGGAGGTAAGGCCCGGCTCCCGGCCGCGGGGGGAGGGTCCGGTGGCGCGCAGCCTTCACTCGTCGCTCATTTTCCTTTTCTCTCCCCAAGCCGAAGAGGAGGTCGGCCCGGTTGTCAGCGGTAAGTAGAGCAGCCCCCGCCCCGTCTCTTCCGCGTGGGGTCGGGCCGGGGGAGAGACTCAGTGCGCCCTTTGCCTTTCAGAAACCCGCGCCTGCAAAAGCGGAGGCGAAGCCCAAAAAGGCGGCGGGAAAGGTGGGTTTCGCACGGACCTTCGGGGGCCCTCGTGTCTGCGCAGCGCTGCTGACCGCGGGACTTGCTCCTCCATAGAGCGCTGTTGCCGGCGACTGAGAGACTGATGTTGAAAGTTAAATGTCAGCCTCCTGAGATGTCGGGATTTTACCTTATTTTTTTTTTAAGTTTTGCATTTTAATAACTAAAGTAAACTTTTTTTCTTTCTGGCCTGAGTAAAATAGGGACATAACTGTCCTGGCTGATGGGGGTGTGATGTGTCACATTAACGCTGCTGCAGAATTTAGGAAACTTAATGACTAAAAGTGTTAAATATTAACCTGAGCCCGCCAGGGAAAGCCGCCTTGGTGTTGGTGCACGGTCGCACGCTTGTGTTTCTTCTGACAATAACAAGGCCGGGACCGAGGCCAGGAGAAGAGGGAGGTGCACGGTTTTGCCTGTGAAGTTTACGAGCCGGGGTAGCGGGTCATACCTTTCGTGTGAGGGTGCATCAAGAGTCGCGTTCTCTGAGAACATACTCTTCTGAAAGTATTTCACCTGCAGTCACGTGTGCAGGGAGTCACGAAATCCTTTCTTTTTTTATTTCAGAGAGGATGGGAGAGGGATAGAGAGAGAAACATCAATGAGAGAGAATCATTCATTGATTGGCTGCCTCCCGCACGCCCCCTACTGGGGGTGGAGCCCGCGGCCAGGGCATGTGCCCTTGGCCGGAGTCGAACCTGGGACAGGTCAGTCCGCAGGCTGACACTCTACCCACAGACCAACACCAGCGAGGGCCATTTTTTTCTAACAGCGTTAATCATGACACCTGCTGCTCTGGAAGAGATTGGCGATCGCACAGCTCACTTTGCAGGTCGTTGGAAGGAAGTTCCTGGGGATCTGTCCGTGTGAAAGCTTAAGCTGGAAAGGCAGAGCATATATCCATCATTTGTAACTGTTTTTGGATTTGGCTGTGAAATCACCCTCTGCTAAGCTCTCCGTGTTCTTCAAGGCGAGCACATGGTGTGATTAATTTCTGTTCACTCAGAACTTAAAAGTGTTTCTTTATTTAAACATTCTACAGAGCTGAGTGTAAAAATCTTAATTTTTCTTTAATAGAAAGTTCCGCTTTGTGGTGTTTTTTTAAGGGTTCAAGGAAGGTAGGAACATAGTAAGTTAGCTTAGAATTTCTCACACCAGAAGATAATGCAGAAATTCTCTGTAAACAAAGTTCGATTTCCCCAGAAAGTTTTCTTGGCTGAAGAAAGAAAAGGTGGGTCATTTAAGATTATTATTGATTTCAGAGAAGGGAAAGGAGGAGAGAGAGAAAGAGAGAAACATCAATGATGAGAGAGAATCATTGATCAGTTGCCTCCTGCATGCACCCTACTGGGATTGGGCCCACACTCTCTGTTCGGCCAAACTGGCTACTTAGTCTTTGCTTTTTTAATAAACCAATTGGATGAAATACTAGGCCTACTTACCTTTTAAATTGTTTTTTCTTTCCTTATTGATGTCTGTCTATATTTTGGTCTGCCTTAAAATTATTTTAATATAAACAGTTCCAATTTTAACTCCAGTTTGAGACATCACATGTAATAAACATTTTATTTTCTTCCTCTCAGAGATCAACAGGTAAGTCCTCGTCTCAGTGTTCCTTAAGGAGCAAGCCTGTCCGTTCATTTTCCAAAAGAAAAAAGGGTCAGTGGCCTTTTCCATTCGTTTATGTAATACATCTTTGGTTTTATAGTAGATCTATTCCCATAATTAATCCATTTAAAGCCTAAAAGAAGGTAAAGCTTTTGATGTATTGTTTTCCATACTACAGGTTAGACATGCTGCTTTCCAAGCATGTATATCCAACATGTGCTCCTGACTTGGAGAATTTCCTTAGAAGCATTTTGAAAGTAGAAGCATACATTAGAGAAGTGTGTTAATTTATTTTGGTTTTTTTCTGACTATTAATAGTTAAAAGTGGTATTATTTCAACCCTAGCTGGTTTGGCTCAGCAGATAGAGCATCGGTCTGCGGACTAGGGTTCGGGTTGGATTCTGATCAAGGGCATATGCCCACTTTGCGGTCTCGATCCCCAGTAGGGGGCCTGCAGGAGGCAGCCAATGATTCTCTCGATGTTTCTCCCCTTTCCCTTCCTCTTTAAAACCAATTAAAATATTTTTAAATAAAGTAAAAAGTGGTATTATTTCAATCCAGGCTATTGTAACACTTCATGGTAGCAACCTGTGGAACAGTGTTATCCCAAATATGTTTGTTTACCTAATTTAGTATTTATCCTAAAGGTATGGAATTTATAGTCATCAAGCAGTTTATGTATGGAATGCCACAACTGGTACAGAATACAGTGCACTGATTTTTCTCTCAGCATTGATGTTTGTGAGACCACATGCCTGCCTTTGTGGCCATTTAACTCAAGTATTGGGGGTATTGGTCATTATTGATAGGGGTCTTGATACAACTACTGGTGACCTAATTTAATTTAATTTTGGTGTTGCTACATTTACAGGAAATGTTAAAATATTAAATTTCCCATTGATGGATGGTATCCATAAATACTGTTCTGTAGTGCTTTAAACGTCGCTTAAATTTTAAACCTATTTTATCATCATACTAATTAATATGTGTGCTTTCAGATTCTTCAAAACACCTAAATGATAACGATAAACTCAAAATTGATCCTTTTAGCTACTCATTATATGATAGTCAACCTGACCATACAACATCTTTCAGGTGAATGGGCTGCTGTGAGGGTGATTGTCTTGTCAGCTCAGTGGACATTTGACTATTTGATTATTCATGCTTAAGAGAAGTTTGAGAGTTACTGGGGAAAGAGACAACTCATTTGTTCTGCCATGTGGAAATTCAGGAAATAGTGGATGATGAGGAAGGTGTGGGGGGAAATTGTGTAGTTCAGGCCTTAGGTTTATACATCATTAAGACTTGCTAGGCAAGTCCTGTTACAGTTCTTAGTGGTCGTGGTTGTCCTGCTTACTGGGGGTGGTGGACCTTAAGGTGGCTCGTGTGAAAAGTGTCATGTAATTCAGGCTGATGTGCAACAGAACATTCACAGTGCGACTATTGTGGACACTGTCTCACAGGATAAGTCTGCAGACAAGAAAGTGCAAACAAAAGGGAAGAGGGGAGCAAAGGGAAAGCAGGCGGAAGTGGCTGACCAGGAGCCTAAAGAAGACCTCCCTGCGGAAAACGGAGAAACTAAAAACGAGGAGGTGAGAATGTGTTGTTGGTTTTTACTCTGACAGTAGATAATAAGTTACACTTTTATGTAGCTGATAAGATCGTCTTTATCTTTTATATTAAATATTTTGTGGCTTAGTGGTTGACTGACATCCATGCGTAGAGACGTCACTGGTTTGATACCCACTAGGGGGTGTGTGTCCTCACTTTTCTATATCTTTCTCCCCACCCACTCTCTAAAATCAATAAAAACATTTTAAATAATAAGTGGACTGCAAGGTTTTGATAAATAACTTTAAGTCAACTAAGCCTCTTTTTACATTATACTGGCTAAACTAGAAAAGAAATAATTTAGGTACTTATTTTTAAGCTTTTCTACTTATAGATCAAATTTTAATGTAATCATCTACTTCTAAATTGTAAGGTTTACAATCACAATATACTTTGAATTCCTAGTTCTAACCACAGCATCAAATATGTGATATAAGAAGACATTACTAATCTAGTTACGAGGGAAGTATTGAATACATGTTATCAAACTACAGTTGATTCTTGTTACTCATGATGGTTATGTTTTAAGAGGTTGCTGTGAATACTGAACAGTTAGGGGAAATGCAGGGTTAGAATCCTTTAACACTGATCACAACACTTCAACTGATTATAACTTTATTTCATCTGTGTTTCTGTTTAATGTATGTTGTCAGTACATTAGCATTGAACTCAGGGCCAACAGAAACAGCACTGTAACTCATGCCTAAATG